CCGCGCGTTGCATGGCGCCCACCGTCGCCGCGCGCGCGCGAACGCCACCGCTTCCGTCCGTCCCCAGTCCCGGGGGCGGTAACAGAGTGCACTCTATTCCGCCGCGCACCCGGGTCTGCGTGCGCACTTGAGGAACGGCGGGCGACCGCGGTCGCCACCGCCAGAGACACCCTCGCACCGATAGGAGCAAGTGCGGGCGTGCGGAGATTCGTCGCGGCGCGTCGTCGCAACGGCTCCCGCGGGCGCGGGCGCGGGGCCACAGCTCAGCGCGGGCCGAGCTTCGCCGCACCCCCCGCGCCGGTGCGATGTGGGCCCGCGGACGAGCTAAGAAAGCTAGTTCGAACGCGGGCCCGGGACGGGGACGGGAGCGGGACGGCCGTGGGCGAGCCTGTTCGCGTTCGTGCACAGGACGGGCGGGAGGAGGGCGAGCCGAGCCCGGCGCGGGGGTCCGTCGCGCGCTCGGGCGGCGAGAGGACGTCGGGAACGTCGCGCGAGCGAGGCCCTGGCAGGACGGGGCTTACGAGCGCGGGCCGAGCCTGGACACCAGCGATCCTCTGCGGGCGCGTACCTCGTGGGGCGGTGGGGGGGCATGGGAGGTGGGCGTCGACGCTAGCCTGCTGTGGACGAGCTGCGGGAGGGAGGGCGAGACTGGGAGGGCGCGCGGCTGCGAGACGCGCCACGCCGCCTGCTCGAGGCCCGAAATAGGCAAATGGGCTGGCGTGCGGTCACCCACGTCACGAGCGAGACGATCGCCCAGCCTGCAGCCAGCCGACACCCGCCCGGCGGCAAAGCGTCAACGCCCTCTCGATCGAGATCTGGCGCCTACACGACACGTGGGGCCCACCAGACGCCCACCGCGCGTGTCCCTCGCCTGACGCCATATATTCCCCCGCCCTCCAGCCCTCCTCCCCTCCCCACCCTGCTGTCCCCGACGCCTTCACCGTCGCCGGTCACCCTAAACACCCTCTATCACGCTCACGACACGTCCCCCATGTTCGCCCAGTACTCTCCTCTCTTCACCTCTGGCCTCCTCTCCGAGAGCAACTCCCCCTCTTCCTCCAGGCGCCCATCCCTCGACCACTCCCGCCCCAACCAACCCCGCGGCAGTCTCCCGGTCGACGTCAACCGCGACAGCTTCTACGAGCCTTTCGCATCCGAGGATGACGGTATCCTTTTCACCCTCGCTCCCCGCCGCCGCCGCTCCGAGCTCGGAAACTCTTTCCTCTCCTTGGATCTCGCCGAGAGCAGGACGATGCGCTCCATGAGCCTCCGCAGGAAGGACACCATGACGTCCCGTGCGACCACCATCGGTGGTTCTGCTCCGGCTTCACCAGAGGCAGGGCCCTCTTGCCCTCTTCCGTGCGTTCAACCCGTTCCTCTCTTCGTCCTCCCCTCTAACCCCCTGGCTCGCGCAGACCAACCGTCGGCTACGCGTCCTTCTCCACTCTTGGCCGCCGGCCTTCCCCGAAGCCTCTGGTCCGCCACTCGTCGCGCGAGGCCCTTCCCAAGGTCAAGCCCCTTCCCGCGTTCCAGCTTCCCGAGCTCCCCAAGACCCGCGCCGACCTCGCCGTCACCATCCCATCCGCGTTCAGCGCCGATCTCCCATCCCTCCATCGTTCCTCCCATTCCGAATCTTCCGTCCTGTCCCCGATCTCCCCTCTGATCTCGCCCATCGAACGCTCCTATTTCTCCTTCTCGCCACCGACCTCCCCTCCCGCCGAGCGCACGTCCTTTGATTGGCCCCAGCCCCCGCGTTCGGCGCCAGCCTCGATGCCGCTCCGCTCCCGTCCGTCGGTCCGCTCCACTGTCTCGTTCAAGACGCGCCAAGTCAACCGCTCGGCCGCGCTCGCAGCGTTGGAGGGGCGCGTCGCTCGCAAGACCCGCACAAGGACGCGCCCGAGCAACTTCATGAGCATGAGCGACGACGAGGACGACATGGATCTCGAGGTCTGCGAAGCCCTCGGCTTCCCCTCCAAGCCCGCCCCCGCGCCGCACGTTCGCGCGACGACGCTGCTGGAGATCCTGCAGGAGGACGAAGACGTGGTGATGCCCTCGACTCCTTCCCACAAGCGCCTCGCTTCGACACCGAGCTCAGGGAAGAGCCGCAGCCGGCGGGGGACGATCGAGAACCTCCTCCTGCCTTTGACGAACTTCATCGACTTCCGCGACGAGGACGGGGCGACGCGAGGCTGGCGCAGTTTCGTCGAGATCTCATGAGGCCGCCCTCCCCATTTTCCCATTCTTCCGCCACTTCGTGCGGACGTCGCCCTTGCGACCAAAAGTTGCGGTTGACCGCGCGCTATGCTCTATGCTTTATGGTTTCTATGTGCATACTCGCGCGCGGTCCCGCGTCGCCTCAGTCGACCGTTTCCGCCGCGGAGGGGTGTATCATTTGCGCTGCGGGCTCGACGCCCGCCGCCGCCGACACTCGGGCGTGGGCCCGTGTTGGTATCTATGACGTGTCTTTGCTATCGCTATTATCACCCCCTACTGTCCTTTCCAGCTAATATCCCATCGCTCTCGTGTATATCCTCGCTGTACAGCACCCTTCTGATTATATCCTAATCTCTCGTGTACATCATCATCGCCCCTCGCACCCTCTGTTCAAACATGACGCCGATACAGATCCCAATGCATTCACATCACCCGCATCCATGATATGCAGCCCCGCCATCGTACAATGCCGCGATCCTCGCACTTTAATCCGCCTTGTTCTCCTTGTCGCCTCGCTTCCTGTGTTCTTACCTTCTGTGCGCGCTTGCGCGACGTGTATTATCACCGCTTTCCCTTTCCTTGTTCTTCGAACTTTTTGCCATCACTGCGTCCCGTACCATCCACACCCCACTCGCGCTTTGTTCCCTATGCATCGCTTCTCCACGGACTCATCAGCCTGCTCGAGCTGCCGTTATATATACACACACCACGTAACGTAACCGGTCTTTCTCCCCGCCTCGTCCTGCGCCTGCATACTGCCTCGCGCAGCTCGCATTCGCCAGGTACTTGCTGGCGCCATATCACAATGTCACTTGCAGTACCATTGGACCCGATCGATGCCGGCGCCCACGGTGTCCCATATGTGCTTTCGCAAGGTAACTCACGAGGCTCGGTGTGCTCGGTGCGATCCTGTGCAATCCGACAAATGCACCGCTCGCGGTCGCGCGGTCGACACTTGCACCGGGTACAGTGGAAGTCTAAAACGTTGATTGAGCGAGCGAGCGAGCGAAGACGTGATCATCATGCATCATACTCAACACCACCCAAGCGCGATCGCGGCGGGTCTGCGGACTGTCCGCGGACTCCGATGGGGTGCGCGCGCGTTTCCGTCGTGTCGCCGTAGAGTACGTACATCGTGCGGACAGGCTCGGAGATCGGAGATCGGAGGGTGGAGGGGTGGTTGTGGGGGCCGCGGCTGCGCTTACGCACTCATTCATGTAGAACGGACGGCGGAGCCGCTACCGTGCACAGCTGGATCCCTTCACCACGAGGGTGCGCAAACGCGTGCACTGCGGCGGAACAGGCGGAGGAGAACCAGGGAGAGCCGCAGTCCGTCCACGATCGGTATTCGGTTTTCGAACGAGACCGAGTTTCGGCCTTTCCCGTCCGGACTCTGCGGCGGTTCGCTGGTGTGGCTGGACCCGGACGTTGACTGCAGATTCGGCCCTCGCGCGCGCGCGCCGCTCGGCCGCTCGGAGATGAGTCGTGCGAGTGGGTTGGGTACCTTGGAGTCGGCCGGGGTCCTTGGGTGAGGCTGCGACACGGCACTGTGCTCGTCTGTGACCCGCTTACGCATCGGTCGGACGGACGGACGGATCCGGGGTGTGGTTCCTCGGGCGTGCGGCGCCACTGCGGGTCGGCGGACGGGGCGGACGATACGGGGAGTGCTTGCGCTCGAGCCTCGCGCACGTCCGAGGGTCGCGCGCGCGTCGCAGGAATGGAAGGGCGGCGGAATGGACGCGCGCGTCATCGTCGTCGTCGTCGTCGTCGTCGTCGTCGTCGTGCTCGAGGTCGAGGCCGTTCGCTGAATTCCTTCGAAGGGCCCGAGACTCGACGCTTGATCATGCTTGATAACGCAGTGCGACCTGCGGGCCCGCTGGGACAGTCATGGTGGCGCGGTCAGTACTTGATCGGAGGTCGCACGCACGCACGCTAGAACTTGCGGTGGGAGAAGGTTCGGGCGTGGTTCTGTCGGTGCGCGCACGCGTCGAACGTTCTTCTGCCCACCGCTGTCGCCGTCGCCGCGATCCGTCCGGGCAGAAGCCTGCAGAAGCTGATGCCCGCGACGCAGCGTCAGCAGCGGCCACAGCAAACGGCGGCTCGGGCGAGCGGAACTCGAGGCTTCTGCCACCAGAACACGGCCTTTTCCGCGCCGGTCTGTGCTCGCTGCGCAGCTGTCTGACGGTGGGCCTGCTCCGGTCGGTGGGACTGGCGATCTCGGTGTTCGGGATTAGGCTTCCCGCAGGAGTGAGGTGAGATGAAATGAAAGAAATGTTGGCTGGCTGAGGAAGTGTTTGTTGCCAGGGAGGCAGTACGGCCCACGTGGCGACTACAGGTTCCTGGTTCGAGCCCCGCTTGAGACGCGCTTGGACCGTTTGAGCTCCCATCACGCTACACGCTTTCCGGCATCGAGCTCTTGAATCTGAAGCACCTGCTGCGGGGAAGAACGTAGACTCGTAAACCAGTCGGTCGGGATTCTCCTTACCTTTCTTCCGATCGGGGGAGATCTCTGTGGCGTGATGGGAGGAGCGGAGATCGAAAGGCAAGGAGAATCCCATACCGACTGGTCAAACTGGTCGCCCCCTTGGCAGGACCGCTCAAAAAGGAAGTCACGTGCGCGGGACTTAGAAAAATCGCGCGTTCTGGCCTCTGGAGACGTCTCTTGGAGCGGGCGCTTCTGGGCTACCCACCGCCGCGCACCGTGCGCACCCGCTCTGGTTGCTCCCGCGCCCCGTGCTGGCATTCACAATCTGCGTAGGCAAGCCGATGTTCATGTATATAAGCTGCTAGTAGTAGTCTTCGATGTCCAAAGAAGGCTCCTCCTCCTCGTCGAACATGGTCTCTTGGTCTGCACCAAAGACGTCTTCTTCGGGCTCGGAGTGCGACCCCTCTGAGTCTGCCAGGCTCGCATCATCGAATGCTGCAGCAGCGGCGACGGCAGCGGATTCGAACTCCCCGTCGCTGTCATTGAAGTACTCTTCGTCGTCAGAGGAACCCTGCGTGCTGCGTGAGAATGCGAGACCAATGCCGACAGGGTTCACGCGAGCACGTACCAAGATCGGCATGTCTGGCCTCATGTCCTCAACTGCACCATGACGGAACTGTTCTTGAAGCTGTGTGAAGGTCGTGTTATATTCCGTGAGAGGTTTGTTGAGCGCGAGCGTGCCGGTCGTAACTACATCGGGGACGAGTGGCTTCTTGAGTCCGTGGAGGTATCGCCCAGGGGTGTGACTGAATATCTCGTGCGCGTGCATTGAATCTTGCAAGCAGGCAAGGTCGCGTTCGATAGATGGTGTGTGGTGCTTTATTCCGAGCCGTGCACCTTGCTGCGAGTTGATTTGCAAGATGAGCTGGCGGAAGAGAGTGATGCAGGGTGTGATCATTGACAGCCAATCCCACGACACGTTGCTTCCTTGTGCCTTGAATACAATCTGGAGTGCCGCCATCATGCAGGTAAGCCGCGAGGACCGTCATATGAGCGGGCTGTAAGAGACTCATACCTTGGTCCAGAAGTTCATGTGCTCTTGCATCAGGTCGACCGGGACCCAGGCGTTCTCCTTGCCTGTCGGATTGACGAGCCAATTCTTGAGTATGATATTGCTGTATGGAAATGTGTGAGTATGTCTCCTCTCTCCATGCATACGCACAGGGGAACACTCACCGCAACGGCTTTGGCCACACAACCTCTAGTGAGTGTATGAAGTGGAGAAGCTCGTAGGCGTACTTTGTCCGACCACACCCACGGAACGCAAGCGCGAGGTGCTTCAGGACGCGGACAATGCGCCCGGAGTATCCACCCTTGATCGCGTCGGTGAATTCACGCGCTATCAGCGCGTCACGGAGGAAGAGACACGCGTTCTCATACAGCAGGTCGCCCTGCTTCAGCGCGTCGGCATAGACATCATACCCCAAGTTGTCCTCGTGCTTCTCCCCGTTGCGGACGGCCTCCTTGTGTGCTGCCAGTCGAGCCGCAACCTCGGCCGCACGGTCGTCTCGCAGTTCGTCAACCGTGTTCTGGTTGCAGAACTTGCTGACAATGGTGCGGGCGTCTTCAAGGAGCCGGTCGTACGTGACTTGCGATGCATATTCTTCAAGCGAGTTGCATCCTGAGACGAGTTTGAAGCAGGTGAGTACACATGCGGTGAGCGACACAAAAACGAGGTCGCGGCAGGTGCGATACGGAGGGAGGGATGTGGGGATGATGGGTTTACGATTGAGAATGGTGTTGAAGAACGAGAGCGAGGTGGGGTTGCGAGAGCCGGCTCCCTCCGTCTCGCCAAAATGGGTCTCCATGATGCCATTGACCAGCGCCATCTGGTAATGGAACAGCCCGGGGCAAAAAACTGCATACCCGTATGACTGGGCGAGCCTCTCATGGCCGCCGCGGTTGGCCAGGATGGTGCGTGCCCGAGCGACAGAGAGTTGGTCACCGAAGAAGAGCTGGACAAGGGTCGGAAACGAGTCGGAGTCGGAGTCAATCCCGAGCTCTTTCATGATGGCATCGAGGACTTCTGCGTTGCCGATGATGCTGCTCTCGTCAATGTTCATCGCTGGAAGAGTGTAGGGCTTCGTCTTATGCAGAGGAATCTGGTCGTCGGTCTCTGGATTACTGTTGAGAACCCTTGAGCGGAACTTGGAGAAACACTCGCAGTTATTGACGAGCTCTCGAAGGACCGTGTGTACTAGAGAGTTCCGGAGTGAGGTCAGTTCTGTTGGAGAAAGCATCACCTGACTGAAGTTAAGAGGTGGGGCGGTGTGGATAGAGCTGAGGAGATCGGAGGCCTTCATGTCCGTCGGTGAGGCATTGAAGAGAGGGAAGATGGTGGCGCAGGTCCCATTCTCTTGAGCGTCCTTGCGACCGACGATTTGCTCCTGGACTTTGAATACCATATTTATGTTGTCATAGACGGCACCGAAGGGGGTGGAGCGAGCAATAAAGCGGGCAGCATGACGAGCAGTTTCGGAAAGTCGGCGAAGGAGACCTGCCCCGGGTGGGAGCTTGGGCGAGGCGGCGACGGGCGCTTGATCGCTTGGGACCCGCGCGCGCTCAGCTGGGTCCGCGCGCGCGTGCTCAGCTACAGTGTCCGCGCGCGCGCGCTCAGCTACAGTGTCCGCGCGCGCGCACTCAGCACGAGGTGTCACGCCCGACGTCTCTCCCTCAATGTCAACATCAACCTCCACACTCTTCGGGTTTGGCTCTGCCCTGTGTGGGTCAAGTCTCTGCACCTCTATGGGACTCTTTGCAACTTTCCCCCCTGCGGAGGCGCAAATCAGCAAGTGCAGGCAGAGCTGTTGAGCTCAATGGGTTGGGAGTTGAGTCACGCACTGTGGTGAGTACCTCCGTCCTGCTCATCTGCGCGATCGACTTCGTCTGGGACCCCCGCGATTGCGACATTGGGATCTTCGGCTTCGTCATCGTTGACGAGGTCGGGGTCATCCTCGCTGTCTTCATCCAGCCTTTTGTCCTTGCCATTTGCTGCGGCTTTGGGAGGAGCATCTGTCCCAGTCTTGCTGCTCCCGGCTATCGCGGCGTAGCTGCTGCAGATGCCGAGTGACGCAAGGACGGTGATAGTTTGGCGTGAGGCTCCAGATGCGAAGAGATACAAGCCAATGATATGCTTGAGTAGACTATTGTTCTGACTTCGCTCGCCCAACAGGTCAATAAGTGCCATTCCGATACGCTTGGACATCCCCAGTCAGCAGTAACTTGCAGCAGTAGGTAATTGACACTTACTATTGCCTTCCGTTTGTCACGCGCTGACCGGTCTTTCCCTTCGGCGTCGTCTCGCGCGTTCTGTCTGCGCTGACGCGGGGTAGTGCTGAATTCGCGCATTACAGCGGCCATCATCGGGCATTTCTCCCGCACACCTTCAAGGAAGTCCGACATGTCCAGCTTCTCCAAGAACTCCTCCGTCACCTCCGTCTTGCTGCCTTGAAGGATGCCAGACCGTGTCAGTGCGTCGGCCTCAAGACGCGCTTCACGGCCGACGTGCTTCACGGCCCAATTGCCAACAGTTGCCATCCCGGTCTTCGTGTTCCGGTACGCCCAAAGATCAAGCACCCGTTCGACTTGCTTACCATTCATGCAGAAACCACGCCATCGCTCCTCTCGGTGGCCGGAGGTCGGGGTCGAGATCCACTCGAGGAAGTCACCCCACGGGGTGTTCGCCTTCTTGAGCGTCTCCAGGATCCCCTCAAAGCACTCCGTCCGTGTTTGCTGTTTGGCGGCCGTGTCCTCCTTCTCAAGAATAGCCTGTGCTTGCCGGTTCTGAGCCAGGTTGAGGTCACGCTTGGCCTGTTGCTCAGCGTACTGCTTCGATATTGTACGTCCTTGGTGAACATATCCTCGACGTTTATTGAAGTCCGTTCTGTTCTCCCCTGGCAGTTGTTTTACATGAGGCGACATCTGGAATGAGTCGTCACTCTTCAGCTCAGGGTCACGAGTGGGAGAAGAAGGGAGGGACTGTGTGCGCTGCCGCCGCTGAGGGGTTGCACGTGCGCGTGTGTGGCTGGGGTTCATTGTAGCCTCATTGACTGCCCCGAGGTGACCTCGACGCTCTTGAGCATCGGTTTGGGCCTGTTTGGCGAAGGTGTTGGCTGCTCGTCGTGCTGCCGCACTCGTTGTGGGTGACTCTGGAGGAGAACTGAGGTCCGACATGGTAAATAGGTCCTCATTGTCCAATATCCATGATTGCTCGCTCTGACCAGCCATCCTTCACAGATATTGAGCTGAATGTGACATCTGAAGTGGCAGCATACGCACCTTGTTGTGCTCGATTTGTGAGAGAGAGTGTGTGTGTCGAGAATAGAATGGCGACTCGTCGCATTGCAGCATTTTTGGCGCTTATCTGACGCCTTCCGATTTTGTGTGCCCCGCCCCTCAGTTGCGCCTACTCTCCTGCTACCATTTGCTTCCACTGTCTGCTTTTCTCCTGCTCCTCGTCGCCATGGCCCGTCGGTCTCGCCCCAGCAAACTTCAGAATTATGCCCTACCGAAGAGTGGTATACCTCGCCCAAGGCTCACCGAAGACGACATCACCGAGCTCAAGGCTCACATGCGCGAGTCCTTCAAATGGGATTCGGATCCGAGGGACTTCCAGCTCAAGGCCGTCGTTGCGCAGATTGAAGGAGTAGACATGATTGTCCAGGCTCCCACAGGTGCAGGGAAGACAGCTCTCGCTGCGGGTCCACATGTTTGGCCCGCCTTTGCAAACAAGGTGAGCCGCCTCAGTACAGGTTATGCATAAATCCCTGTTAGAGTGCCCCGGGTTTATGCATACCGTACCTTATGCATACACAGATATATGCATAAACATTGAAGTATGCATACAGCTGTAAGAGCGTCAATATCCGTAAACAAAAGGACAGCCACGTGAATCGAACCCACAGCCTCTTGACATTGTACACATACGACACAACAGACCACTACGCCAATGTTCCATGCTGTTTGTGCGTTGCTTACAGTAGATATACTCTCTTCAATACTGACATAAACACAAGGCTTTTGTTGAACTCGTCGTTCATCACAGTCCAGTCATACTTCTCAACACTGCTTGCATACTCACCCTCTCCTCGGGATGCCTACCTATGTCTAAGATTGTGTTTATACATACATCCGGTTTATGCATACACCCCATTTATGCATACAACGTGTTCATGCATACGGCCGGTTTATGCATACAGCCCGATTATGCATACAGCCCGATTATGCATACGGCTGGCTTATGCATACAGCCGGTTTATGCATGCGGCGTGATTATGCATACGGCGCATTTATGCATACAGCGCATTTATGCATACGTCCCGTTTATGCATAAACACTTCATATGGGTAAACACAGCGTGTATTGGTGGGGCAAGATGACAGTGATGTACCGTCAACTCCAGGTCCGAGTCCATGGAGGTGAAGGCGAGATAGTGGGCTGGTGTAAGCGTAGAAATGAGGAATCTGGGGTGAAGCAAGATTTGCGGGGAAAGCGAACGTGAAGAGAGTTGGATCGCGGGAACGCAAGGTACTTGAGGAGGTCAGAATAGACGAGACCGAGGAGGATGATGAGTGCGAGTGCGAGATCGAGGGCGAAGGGGAACGCGCGGTGCGTCTAGATCGATGTGTCGCATAGGGCTGCCGTATTGATCCTAGGTGAACACGGGCGGATCGTGATGGGCGTGTGCGAGGTGGGACGGACAATGTGCGTGGAAAACGTGCGTGAGGACGACATGGATGGGAGCCAGGCGGAGGCGCGTAGCCACTAGTGTGGTCAGGTGGTCGAGGGACGATGAGTGGACGTGAGTCGTAGAGAATGGAGCAACGTGACGCTGCGAGGACGCAGGAGCTGAGAGAGAGCCCTGGTGTCAATTCCTGGTGTGTGCGTCTACCGGTCATGGGTGTGATGACGAGGCCGGACACGGTGAGTACGCACCTCACACTCACCGTGCAGGCCGGGACGGCCGAGTGAGGCGGAAGGGTGTGCGCTGGCCAGGGACCATGCGCGGAGGTGTTCCTCGAGCACAGCCACCCCCCGCAGTGCCTGGATGACGTGCGGGTCGATCACATCCCGCTTTTCTCGGAGCACACACCAGGAATCGACGCCAGGGCTCTCTCTCAGCTCCTGCCACGTCCTCGTAGCGTCACGTTGCTCCATTCTCTACGACTCACGTCCACTCATCGTCCCTCGACCACCTGACCACGCTAGTGGCTACGCGCCTCCGCCTGGCTCCCATCCATGTCGTCCTCGCACACGTTTTCCGCGCACATTGTCCGTCCCACCTCGCACACGCCCATCGCAATCTGCCTGCGTTCACCTAGGATCGATACAGCAGCCCTATGCGATGCATCGATCTAGACGCACCGGTCATTCCCCTTCGCCCTTGGTGTCACCTTCGCCCTTGGTGTCGCACTCGCGCTCGTCATCCTCCTCGGTCTCATCCATTCTGACCTCCTCGCGCACCTCGTGTTCCCGCGATCCAACTCTCTTCGCGTTCGCTTTCCCCGCAATGCGTCATATCCCGGATTCCCCATTTCTATGCTTACACCAGCCCTCTATGTCCATTGTCGCCTTCACCGCCGTGGACTCGGCCCTGAGGCTGATGACTGTCGTCTTGCCCCACTGGTATACACTGTGTTTACCCATATGAACTGTTTATGCATACGCACCGTTTATGCATAAATGGGGCGTATGCATAAATGCGCCGTATGCATAATCACGCTGCATGCATAATCGGGCTGTATGCATAAACCGGCTGTATGCATAAACCGGCCGTATGCATGAACACGTTGTATGCATAAACAAATTGTATGCATAAACGCGCTGTATGCATAAACTTACTTGTGTCATCGGCATAGTCACTTACACCTCTACAGGAAGCAAATGATATATTATGTGCTGCACAGGTGAGCTGATATCCGTTGGACATGGGCGGGAGATCATAGTGGGCATCTTGCATTACCCACTTTTGAGAGAGGATGGTCAGCTGGGGAGGACGGGAGTACATTAAGTCGACGTATTGAGAAATATAACAGTACATATAAAGAAACATATGAGCCGTTTTAATGGACTCATGGCGCAGTGGTAGAATTGCCTCCCACCTCCCCCTTTTGGGTTGGGTTGGGTGTTCGATTCCCCATTGCGTTGTTTTGTTTACGGACATTGACGCCTCTACAGTTGTATGCATTCACTAATGTTTATGCATATATTCGCGTATGCATAATTCACAATATGCATAAGCCCGGGGCGCTCTAACAGGGATTTATGCATATCATGTACTGCTATGTATGAACAAGGTCACCCTCATGGTGAGCCCGCTGATGGCTCTGGAGGAGGAAATGGTACGTAACATCCTGGTATGCCTACTGCACCTGTGAAAGACATGAGGTGAACACCGGCTCAACAGGTGGACACCTTTCGGGACGACTTCGGCCTCAAGGCGGTCACACTACATAGCAAAAACGGCGGCTGCAGCATGGAAGAGATTGAGGTAAGCTGCTTCTTTTTATGCCATTTTGAACCATCCCGAACCATGTGTACACCAAATATAGAAGATCCTCAACCTGGAGTATCAAGTAGTAATTGTCTCACCGGAGATGCTCCAATCCCGCCGCTTTACAGACCTCGTACTCCGCAACTCAAAGTTCACCCAGAACATTGTCTCAATGTTCATTGACGAAGCCCACTGTGTCGTTCACTGGGGTGCGGACTTCCGGAAGAGTTACGGCACCCTGGGAAAGATCCGCGCATTCCTGCCTCCATGCACTCCCGTAATCGCTGTCACAGCTACTCTCACTAGACGAGTTCGTCGCGCGCTCTACTAGTGCATAGCAGGGGTAGCCACTACCCTTGGGGGTAGGGGGTAAGGGTGCGCAAGGGTAGGGGTCGGGGTAGGTACCAGTTGACCCCCCAATACCCTTGATACCCTCGGTGGTCCCAGAGCTGCTGTACGTAGCAGCCTGGCCTTGCAGGCTCAGCAGGCATGTGCACTGAAGAACGGAGAGCCGTCATCGTGAATAGGAGCCTTTGTATTACATAAGACATTCACCAAAATTCAGGGGGCTGTCCGAGCGAGGGCCATCCCGCAGATTCTCCCTCCCCTGTTCCCTCATACACACAGATTCTGAGCTACACCTCACCACACTCCACCACTCATGGCTGGAGGATCTTCCCTTAGAAAGGGTGCCCAAGCTCTAAAGCGCCAGGCATCAGCACTATCGGAGAAGGTTCGGAAGAAGAAGCGTATCACAGGTTCCAACTCAGACGGTAGCGGCAACGAAGAGACCCGCTCCCAAGGTTCGTCCCCTGGCATTGTCTCCATCCACGGCTCTGGGAGCGATGCCGATAATGCGAGTGGGACGGAGACTCGGCGACCTTCAACTATCAAGAAGGCAGCACGTGCTGCAGCTTCTGCGGTCAAAGGAGTAGCCTCTGCCGTCAAGGCTACCGGTAAGAAAGCCGCCGGGAAGCTGAAGAAGCGTGGGTCATTCAACTCTGGCACGTCGGAAGCAGACCAAGAGGCATCAAATGACGAAGACGTACCTGCTACAGAGGATGATGACAACGAGCCCAAGGACGAGACCCCTGAGGCAGCTCTTGGTGAGTCGGATCCGACATCGCATCAGAATCAACAACGCCTTATCGCACTTTAGCGCGGTTGAAGAAGAAGTGGTCAGCCCCGGTGTACGCATTCTACAAACCAGACATCAAGATCCTCACCAATGAGAAAGGCCAAATCGTGCACGAGTTCTCTTGCGCGAACCCTGGATGTACACAGAAGATCAAACGTAACACCCAAACCAACGACAAGACATCCACAAAGAACCTCCATCGGCATGCGAAGTCGTGTTGGAAAGATGCGGCGTGGAAGGCTGGAACGGGGGCGGGATCTGCGGACAAGGCTCGGCCCGGTCTGGAGGCGTTCGGTCGCACCGGGAAACTGACTACAGCGTTCAAGCGGGCTGGAAAAGGCAAGGTCACGTATTCAATCGTACAGCATACATCAATGGAAACCAGGTACGCACTCACATGAATCAGTTCATGCTCAAGCGTTGAAGTGTGGCATAGAATCGAGATTGTGCGCTGGTGTGCAGAGAACAAGCGGCCGTTCCGTATCGTCAGCGACCGAGCGTTCCAGTGCTTGATGAAGACGGGCCGCCCGGAGTACAAGATCCCGTCTCCTTCCACTGTCTCACGCGACATCCGTCATGTGTTCGCGAAGTGCCGGCAGCGCATCGGCCGGATGCTTCAGGTATGTGATAGCAGTTCCGCATTCATGGCAGGGTACCGTACTGACGCGGGATGAATACACATGATAGGAATATGAAGGCGAACTAAACTTCACCTTTGACGCGTGGACATCGCCTAACCATAGGCCGTTCATCGCGTTTGCCGTCCACTTGCACCACCGCGGGGCTCCGTTGAGCATGATACTGGATGTCATCGAGGTTGCGGAGTCGCACTCCGGTTTCGTCATGGCAGCTGTGTTTGACGCCATGTTGAAGGACTTCGGTATCCAAGATAAGGTTAGTAGTGCATCTCCATAGATACGTGCTTGTGTTTGCTTACCAAACATTTGTAGATCCTCGCGGTGACAGGCGACAGCGCGGCCGCTAATGACACCATGGTCGACGAGTTGTACAAGAGGCTTGACAACTTTGGCGGTCAGTGTAATCGTGCCCGATGCTTCGACCATGTCGTGAACCTATGTGCGCAATCAGTACTCCGTCCTTTCCAGGTAAAGGAGGGCGACAAGGACACAGCGGAGACTGCTGAGGAAACACTAGCACGGCTGCTCGCGGAAATTGACTGGAGTGGTATGGGTTCGGACACCGAGGACGACGAGGGTGACCAAGCGGATGACACACCTGAAGCGGACGACTCAGACGGTCTCTTCGACATCAATGAAGACATGACAGACGATGAGCGCGAGGACTTTGAGGCTGGTATCGCCCCAATCAAGAACGTCTTAACGAAGGTGCGGCGCACTCAGATACAATACAACAACACACCTGATATCTGCCACCACAGATTCGCACCCTGTCCTTCGCAATCATCAATTCCCCCACAATAAACCTCCCTGCGTGGAAGCGGACACTTCGCGAACTCCGTTTGAAGGAGCGCATGATACCGCGGGATGTTCGAACTCGTTGGAATTCGACGTTCTACATGCTAGACTTTGCGGTTGAGTACAAGGCCGCCATTCACCGGATAACTACGGACCTTGATCTTGGCTTGAAGAAGCACAACTTGGACGACGAGGAGTGGGAGATAGTCGAGCAGCTGCGAGACGTTCTGAAGGTACGTGGCAGTTACGCAATCTTACTCTCACGCATCTGCACCCGCAACACAGCTGGTTTGAACTCAAACCAGCCGCAACGCTCATGGTCTCCCACCTCCTCCCGTGCTCTGTCTCGTCCCCCCATTCTCCAGCTTGGCATCCATGACTAACTGCTTCCTCTTGTGCTCGCTCTCGACGTCCCTTGCAACCCAACAACGTTTCTTCTGGCTGTGGTTAAACAACGCCACTCGACTGCCTAAAATCTCATACGGTCGGCCTGATCATCCGTGATCATCTTATCGCGGATGGAAACGACGCCATCCATACTCTGCATGGCCCTGGGACGCGTCGGGACTACAGGTAAGTTGTTTGTACTGTTTTTCATGCGCATATTCCACCTGTTCTGGGCTCCCGCTGTTGTGGTGCTGTCTCGATAATGAGATCCCGCGTCCTACTGCCCTCGCCTCTGTGGCGTGCACTCAACAACACTCTTGTATTCAAGAGTGCTGATGTGTGCCCCACACGCACATGCACCCCGTTCTTGACGCACTCCAGCTGCCAGCGCGCGGTGTGTGTATCTCACACTCCAACTGCCAGCGCTCTCCGCACGCCGGCTCGCTCGACCTGTGTCCCTTGCGCTGCGCGCATGCTCTGCGGTGCCCGACTCCGCTCTTCGGTGCCCGACGCTCTGCGGTGCCCGACGCTCTGGCACTGATGCGCATGCTTGAGTACGTGCTACACACCACCGTGAGCAGATCCGTTTCGATCATGCTGGTGTGGGGCCACACGTCGTGTGGACGCGGACACGGGGACGTGCGTCGTGTGGACGCGGACACGGGGACGCGCGTCGTGTGGACGCGGACACGGGGACGCGCGTCGTGTGGACGCGGACACAGGGACGCGCGTCGTGTGGACGCTGCGACGCGGACGCAGACACGGGGACCGTGACGCGCGTCGTGTGGACGCTGCGACACGGATGCGGACACACAAGTGTAATCTCTTCTTCTCGTCTTCTTGTGCCTACGTCCCACACAGTCACGTTCTAACTTCTCTCGATTTCACAGCTCTTCGAGAATGCTACCACGTTCTTCTCTAGAAAGGGGCATGTCAATCTGCCCATCGTCATTCCGGCCATGGATCACCTCGACGAGAAACTCACGGAGCACGCACTGGATACTGGAAGAATGACTGCCGCTGTTCGCGCTGCGGTTACTCTTGGCAAGAAGACACTTAATCGGTACTATGATCGCACTGATCATACGGAGGTCTACCGGATCGCGATGGGTGCGTATATATGTCCTGGCCTGTATTACATACTTATATGCGCTCGCTGTGATGATCTTCCTCCAGTCCTTCATCCTCAGATGAAGCTCGAGTACTTCAAGACTGCGAAGTGGGAACAGGACTGGATTGATACGGCCGAGAAGATGACTCGGGATGAGTACCTCCGCAGCTATGCGCAGAGGGATATTGAGCACGACGATCGGGCCCCGAAGCCAACGACTGAGCCACGCCGTAAGAAAGACACTGTGAGTGTTCTTTATCACCAGTACTTGACTCCTGTCTTACAGTTTATATGTGGCATGCGCGGCCAATGCGGTGCACAACAGAATCCATTCGCTCAGCTCCCTGCATTCCAACAGAAGCGTCCGGCTGCAGGGGCGAGCGAGATTGATCGCTATCTTGCGGCGTCTACAGAGTACACTGACGATCCACTCAGTTGGTGGTGGAATCGCCGCCGTGAATATCCCCATCTCTCACGCATGGCGCTCTCTTACCTTACAATTCCTGGTATGTGTATATCATGGTATCTCAACCTCTCGCAGCTCGCTTACAGTAAGGATGCTCCACAGCCACTTCAGTCGACATTGAACGCGTTTTCAGCAAAGGGCGGCTGCTCCTTCCACACGTCCGCAACGGTTTGTCTGCCACGTCTATCCGGGCGCTTCTGTGCCTTGATGAGTGGAGCGAGCTCGGACTCGTTCGAGACACCGACGTCTCGGTTGCCCTTCGAGATGATGCATCGGACGATCTGGAGGGTGGTTGGGAGCTCATTGTGTTGCGGCCACGTGCTGGTACTGATACAGTAGAGTAGGACAATGTCGTGTGTGCTGTACTTGCTACCCTTGTCAAACCCTTGACCCTCGAGTACCCTTGTGACCCTCTACAAAACCCTGACCCTTGTATGAGGGTTGTGACCCCCTGAGGGTAGGGGTCAGGGTAAGCATCGGGAGACCCGGGGGTTACCCCTGCTACGCACTATTTATTAACAGTTAAGCTGCAGGGCTGCAACATCCTCGATGTGGAGCGTGTTATCATATGGAAGATGCCGGAAACGTTCTCACACTTCGTGCAGCGCGAGGGCGCGGCACTCGAGGGGTCGCCATCCTCCTTGTCGAGCGCTCTGCGTACAACACCAATATCGTCGACAACATGCCCGCTTCCCTTGATGAAAAGCCCGTTGGCAAGATTCAGGGGACCAAGGAGAAAGCACCACGCGCAGACTCCAAGGAGGTGAAAGAGTACGCCAGAGCTCACGGTGTCAATCGCGGCGGCTCAAAGCAACTCGACGACATACCCAATGGCAAACAACCCCAGCTGAACCCAGCAAGTGCCGACGAAGGTCTTCTCTCATTTGTGCAAAGCACGTCCTGCCGGCGTGAAGTCTGGGCACAGGTTTTCGAGATCCCAGACTCGGAGCGGCGTAAGTTTTGTTCACTCGCCGCATGTATATGCTCCCCTAATTTTATGTGTATAGATCCCCTAGCTGAAGGGTGTCCGTGTTGCGACCTCTGCCATCCGAAGCTGTTTGATCTCGCCCGCCCTGCACCTTGTCCTCGTGAAAAAACGAACAGGTTGCCCACGAAGGGCCTGCCCGACCCGACGGCTCGTGCCGCTCTCGCACAGTGGCGCAAGATGGTACATGCCCGCGACCACCCATTGGCATGGTTTAACGCCAAGGCAATACTTCCCGACGTGCTTCTCGACTCACTTGTCTCATATGGCTCTGTCACTCCCATCCAAATTCGAGCTATCATGAAGGAGCCATCCGCAGTGTGGACGGATCGCCTCACCGCTGAGCTATGTGAGTCTATGGCACATTTGCAGATTCGGTTCGTCCCCAATCCAAAGAAGATCTCGGTGAAGGCAATTCTTGAACATCCTTCGCCCTCGTCCTTACCTGTTCCACCCACCAACTCTGCTGGCTCGTCGTCGTGCAAACCAGTACAAGCCGTGCCAACCCAGACTGAGGCCGCGCGCGCACCATCAGCCGATACCATGCGCGAGCCCCCACCTAAACGCACACGTACCAAAACGAAGCCCACGATGCCCCCAGAAACCGCATACTACCCGACCTCTGTTTCCGCCAACGCAGAAGCATCCAAACGGCCGCGCGGGGCGTCCGCGTCGTCCATGGCTCCTCCGCCACAGCGTAAGCGCCTGCGCGCGACAGAGGTCAGAGGCAGCGAAGCGCCGGCCCCATCGCAATCTCTTGCCCCCATCTACCTAGGCACGCCTGCCCACTCCACCCACTATGCTCACCCTTCCTCAACACCCGCACTCTTATCAACCCCTCTTCCACTTGTGTCGCCTCAGCCGCACCCACACTATGGACAGAACACGAACGAGACCACATCCAGTTCACGCCAGCATGCAAACTTCGCACAAGAACAGAGTTCCGACATGGAACACTCAGTACCTCAGAGAACGTACGTTTATCACAACACTCCTCCCGCGCTACCCTACCATCCCCCGCCACCTGTTTTCCCATCTCCCTCGCCGGCTGCCCAACAACTTCAGGAAAGCCCGGGATCCAGGATCACCTGGTCGACGCTGCAGCAGCCTGTGTGTAGTGCTGGTCACGTCGCACCGTCTCCTCTCCCATGGTCCAGTCACGATGGCGGCCCCACTGCTCCATCTCTGTTCACAATGTCAAGCTCAAGCCTCCCATCCTCTTACTACAACAGCACACCCACTCGTGCAAGGCATTCGATCACAGGGCCCGCGATGCACTCACGGACTCCCGCAAGGCCTCCATCTACGCCTGCGATACACCCGGCTTTCCCTACAATGCCGCTGGGTCCACCCACGATGTCAGCCCCTAGGACGCCCTCCGACTCCTACACAACCCTTTGGGGCATCCCCGCGTCCTCGCATACAATGCCGACTATCACACCGGTGACTCAATCGGCCACGTCCTCAACACGCTCTGTGGCCCTCGCATGGCCTCAATCTCTCCCCGCGATGCGCTCTACCACGCCTGCGATGCGCTCTACCACACCCGCAATGCGCTCTGCCGCACCCGCAATGTGCTCTCCCACTCCCGCAATGCACGGCGAGTCTGTCACGCCCACGATGCGCTCTGCCGCGCTCGCGATGTCACCACTTGGTCCTACGCATGTGCCATACCACACGCCCGGGCCGTACCATGTTATGTGCTCATCCACGCCCAC